TACTGTACAATAAACTGAATAAACTGAAACTGAGAACGAAAGGCGTCTGAAGAAACCAACAGATACTGCCCTGGCTCGCTTTTGTGTTCTGCCTAAGATCCATAAACCAAACGTCCCATTGCGGCCAATCGTTGCCTAAAAGGCAGCCCAACCTATAATTTGGCAAAATGGATGTATTCGAAAGTAAAATTCCTGCAAGAAAATTCTGTTGTCTTAGTCCACTCAGCCTCCCAGTTCCTGGAAGACCTCCATTGCCGAAGGATTTAATCGGATGAAATGATGGTTCGTTTTGACGTGACATCACTGTTTACATCCATTCCACCGGATTTGGCACTTGACGTCTTGCGCAGGATACTTGAGGAGCTGTACGACGAAATCCAGAACTATCTTAAAGTTGAACATCTCATGAGACTGTTTTGAATTTTGTCAGCAGACATACCTCCATTTTGCTGGAGTGACTTACGAACAAATCAAGAGAAGTCCGATGGGCTCTCCAATCTCCGGTTTAATAGCAGAATTGGTCCTGCAAGAGCTAGAAAAGGCCGCCTTCACCCAACAGCCCCCGACCTTTTGGCACCGTTACGTTGACGACACGTTGGTTATTGTTGAAAGGAACATGCTGCAAAGTTTCCATGATTTCTCAACTCAATCTTCCCAGATATACAATTCACTAGGGAAGAATAAGAAAAGGATCAGCAGCTACCCTTCCTCGATGTACTCGTCAAGCGAACTCCCGACGGCAAAATAGAAATGGAAGTCTACAGGAAGGCGACGAACACCACACAACTTCTTAGTTCTCATAGCAACCACCCTGTGGCTCACAAACGAAGCTGTGTGAGGACGCTGTTTAAAAGAATCCAGACTCACTGCAGTTACCCGGAGGAAAAAGCACGTGAGGGCCGACATCTGCGTGAGCAGTTTAGGCGGAATGGCTATCCTAGAGCCTTCATAAGCCGATGCCTACGTGCTCGACCTCTTTTATCTAACATCGCGCGCACACCAGGAGCTTGCACACATGTCATAGTCTATTCAGGCATCTAAGGCGGCGTTTTTTAAGTACATGCAAAGAGAACTTTGAGCATGGACCGTATACCATGCACTACGTCCCACTCAAAAGGACATTTCAGCGAGAAAAGTGAGAGAGCGACATTTAGTTATACGTGAAATCCGGTGAGCCAGATAATGCGTTCTTAATCTCAGTTCTACTCAGTTGAAATAAAATCCAATGAATGTTGGGTTGGGTGAATGCACAGATAGGACCAAATTTGATCGCAGGGTTCCTAGCCCGACGTGTAGGATTCATTGACGCATAAATTGGGGTTAAACAACCTCATGGTACTTCTTATTTACTGCTATATGTATAGTAAAAAGGGAAGGCTTTTTGGAAACGCCAGATTTACTCGTAGTTTTTGCATAGCGGAAGAAATACGCATTCTGAGGTGATATGTATGTGGGGCAAGCACATATGCCAGTTTTCTGTTCTTCTTCCTTTTGTTTTTGCCAATATACGAGTAGGAGAGTCATATTCGTTATGAGGCAACAGTAACTTACGTAGTGCCCCACATTAATCACTACTCCCAGCAGGATTTCCTATGAAAACGGTGGTAATAGGTTTTTTGGGTGGGAAATTAGGACACGCAGTAGAATATACTTTAATAACTGCTAAGCGTATTTTAATTTTACTGTATGCAGAAGTGTTGTTCATTTATATCTGTAGATATTATTAATTTGTTCTGCGGTGAAACCCGATTATTAGGTTTCTTGAAATGGCCTAAAAATTGAAATAGTGGTTAGGAGGTTATCTACTTCAACTTACTTGAGGTCCAACTTAACGTTCTGAGGTTGGATGAGTATAGTCCGCGTAGCAAAGTGCTGCGTGCACCTTCAATTTATGTGCGGAACAACTTACTCCCAGCAGTTGCGGGCACCAACTTCGACTACACTTTTTTCACTTTACACTTCCTTTTAAAAATTTCCTCCTCTGCCTCTCCTATATCTCCACCCCCAAAGCCCTATAACTACCATTTTCGTAGAAAAAAATGTTGGGACTAGGGGAATATGAAGGGATTACATAAGCGACTTTTGCCCTTTATTAAAAGACTAGCGCGGAAGCCCGGCTTCGCCTTGGGCTTCCTTACGTGTTGTTGT